GGTGTACAGGAGGCTGGACAGCGCAGTGTTGCAAGTCACCGCTTTGCTGGCTGATGTCCATTAATGATTTACATAGGGGAGGAGATAAGATATTATCTTGATTCTTTTGTTTGCCAACTGAAGAGTTTTATTTTCACGGAAGGTGGTCAGCGACCCTCATTCATCTATAGAGAAGTACATATTGCACGATTATTAGTGCTGTATCATTCTGAGCAGCCGAGGAAAATATTAGTGTGTGGTGTGAAACACAGTACCTGCTCTTCCAAAAGACTTCCTGGATTCCCAGATTGAGGTTGGGGACCAGGGGGGATGCTTTCTACTTTTACAAAATATAAAAATAATATTTTGTATAGAAAAACATATTTTCTATATGAAATATATGTATGTCTATTTTGTGGTAAGAACACTTAAGGTGAGATCTATGCTCTACCACATTTTTAACTGTTCAATACATCATTGTTAACTCTAGGTACAGTGTTGTACAGCAGATCTCTGGAATTTACTCATCATGCATAACTGAAAGTTTATACCTGTTGAATGCCAACTCCTCATTTCCCCCTCCCCTAAACCCTTGGGAAACCCCATGCTACTCTGTTTCTATAAGTTTGACTTAAAAAAAAAATAAATGTACCAAAAAAATCCTTTGTTTTATTATATACTAGAGGCCCGGTGCAGGACATTCGTGCACAGGGGGAGGGGGCGGCCTCAGACCGGCCTGCACCCTCTCACAGTCTGGGACCCCTCGGGGGATGTCCGACTTCCGGCTTAGGCCCGCTCCCCCTGGAACGGGCCTAAGCCGGCAGTTGGACATCCCCTGAGGGGTCCTTAGAGCTGCTGTGGATGCGGGAGAGGCTCCCGCTACCGCCGCTACACTCACCAGCTGTGAGCCCGGCTTCTGGTTGAGCGGCTCTCCCCTTGTGGGAGTGCACTGACCACCAGGGGGCAGCTCCTGTGTTGAGCATCTGCCCCCTGGTGGTCAATGGGTGTCATAGTGAACAGTTGTTTCCCGGTTTGGTCAATTTGCATATTAGGGTTTTATTATATAGGATTGACTAATCAAAAGAGTTTCAGATTTAATTGCTGTTTGACTATTTTAGATACCTCATATAAGTGGAATCATCCAGTTTCTGTCCTTCTGTGGCTGATTTATTTCACTTAGCATAATAACCTCAAGTTCATTCATATTGCAACCCATGACAGGATTTCCTTCTTTTGCAAGGTATGATTGATTATATCACATTTTCTTTATCCATTCATCCATGGACATTCAGGTTACTTTGACATCTTGGCTATTGTGAATAATACGACAATGTATATGTAAGTGGAAATACCTCTGAGATCCCAAAATGCATATTTTGAACTCACACTAAAACTATGTGATACTGCTTTTAAAAGTTAATTAAAAGTTGTACAATATTTTAAACAATGCAGGAAAATACCCAAATTCCTGCCCTAGTCATATTTTTTTCTCTCATTGTTTGCATGGTCTTTTTCAGTTTGGGGCCTAATGTAAAAATATATAACACACAGCTGTGATCATTACATAGCACAATTGAAATTCTGCCTTTTACAATTATCCTAAACATTTCCACACATACTTAAATTTTTTTTTTTTCAGTTGATCAGCATAGCGAGGTTCTCTAGCCAGGTCTTAAATTTTTTTTTTATTTTTTATTTTTCAGTGGTGGCATAATAACCTTCTAAAATATATTTAGTAACTCAATCAACCTGGATTGTCTTTTATATTTATCCTGATAAATAAAGATCTATTATTTTTTAAAATTTACAGCGAATTGTCCTAACCCAAATGTAGGGAGTTGTTCATTGTTTTCTACTGCTTAAAAAAACCAACTTTGTCATATATTACTCTGAGGTCTGCCTCCCAACTGCATCATCTGGTAATCTTTAATATGTTAAAATCAAAGCTACACTACAATTGAGTGTAGATGCTACTGCTTTGTTAGAGTTAATAGAATAGTTTATTCTATTAAGTTTATATACTTTCAAACATAATATTTGTGGAACTCTAAAGTATTTCTGAAGGCCCTAAGGTTAGATGGTTTGTGGAGCCTGGGTTGGAACCTTAACACAATGTACATTTTCATACCAGTTGAGCCTTCTCCAACAATCCCAAGCACTTATTTTACTTTTTTTTTTCCCCTAAGAAAAATACACAAACAATTCACTTTTTAATCCACCGAACAACTATTAAGAACATATTTTTTCATACAAGGCAATGCTTCAAAGAATCTATGAAAATAACAAACTCACAAAATAGGTATATTAGGGTATGATGATTTGCATTATTAAACAATGCTTAAATTTAGATATATGTGAACTTTCAAACTTATGTCTTTCAAATCCACTAGAGAAGAAATATTTGTCCAAAGAAATTTCTTTTCTTTTAAAAATATATTTTATTGAGTTTTTACAAAGAGGAAGGAAGAGGGATAGAGAGTTAGAAACATCGACGAGAGAGAAACATCGATCAGCTGCCTCCTGCACACTCCCTACTGGAGATGTGCCCACAACCAAGGTATATGCCCTTGACCGGAACCGAACCTGGGACCCTTGAGTCCGCAGGCTGACGCTCTATCCACTGAGCCAAAACGGTTAGGGCAGAAATTTCTTTTCTATATACGTATAAAGGACCATTGTATGAAAGGGAGCATTCATACTTCTTTTTATGACCCAGTTAAAAACTCCTATTACTAGTTAAACCAGTCAAGCCACATTTGAGAAATAAGCCTTCATATATCCTCAATATCAGCCTGGAGGAACACTCCACCTAATGTGAAGGCAGGATGTCCTCTTTGTTTTTATGTCCTATTTTTCAATAATGAGAGATGATGCTAATTCATCATATTTTAGGAGAATTTAAATAAAAAGCCCTCAAGTAGAGAATGACAATTTACAATTGTACTAACTCTGGCACATTGCCTGTATTCATTTGATAGAAAGAGGTATATATAGTATATACATTTACATATATATAAACTCATGTATATATAAATATATCAGATATGCCCTAATACATGTTATATATAAAATAATACAAGTAAGCCTTCCTCCTTGTCTGTCTGGAATCAGACCTTTTGCTTAAAAGCTTTGAATTCAATTCAATTATCCCACTTTTAAAAAATGTGGAAGTTAAGCTCTACATGATTACATAAAGAAAAACTTCCAGAATATGCTACACTTGCCACAAATTACCCTTCAAAGCAAGGAGGAACTGTTCTTGCTAGTTCAGAAACATTCAGGTCATTTTAAAAAGTAGGTTTGTATACAGATTAAAAGGGAAATGGCTTTGTGGAACCAGGAGGGGAAATCTGTCCAGAAGATCTTTCCTGCCATTTGTTCCAGGTGACGAGACTCACATTTTACTTAAAAAGTACAAAAAGAACTCATAAAGTCATCAAAGAAGAGCACAGCATGTTTTGGGCATAGAGTGAAGAGCCTGATTTTTCCATGAGATGTAGAGTCTTTTCCTCTGGAGGAGCACAGTAAGAGCCGCCAAGAAGAGCAAGTCATCTGACCGGGGCCAACGCTGCCAAGGCCAGTTCCCATTTCGTGTGCCCTCTGGAAGGGCGAGAGTGGGGAGCGGACCCAGTTGGGATTGTCAGCTTTGTCACACTCAGCGCTATGCCACATCTGCGATATGCTGTAGTAGGCCTCGCAAGGGGACTTTAGTTCCAATACCCGGATTTCCCTTCTACCCAACTTCTGTTGAAAATATCGGGCATTACTAAGTTAATTTCTTCTTATGTAATTGGATAGTCTAACTTGGCATTCGCTCCCTTAAATTATATTCATTGGGGTGGGGAGGAGGCAGTTCAGAGTTAAAAGAATACCGTGAAAGGGAAGTGCTTTTAGGGACACGTTAAGCTGGCCTGTGATTGGTCATTGCCTTAGTTTACTTGCTAAGGAAGCTAAGGTCGAATTTAATGATCTAATTTGCTTTGCTTTGGTTCAAAACGAACAGCCATATTCCTAGGATTTGGTCAGCCCTTAAACAGAACATTCATTGTGTTTCCACCTGGTCCTCCCACTCTAAGTGCATAGGGTCCTGAAGAAATCAGACTTGGCTCATGTCCTCCAGGCCGTTGGTCTAAAGCAGTGGTTCTCAACCTTGGCTGCACATTAGAATCACCTGGGAATCTTTTTAAAATCCTGATTTCTGGGCCTCATTCCGGAGGTCCACTGGTCTAAAAGGGAAGGCCTGGAGGGAAGTAAGCGCCATGCCCATTCACCATTGCACCTGAGTACACTTAGAATCCCGCCTCACATTTGCCCAGGGAGTCTTTATAACGGGGCCAGAAGCTTTGCAGGAATTACTTTACGTAAACCTTAATGACAGTTCTGAGAATAATAAGCAATCCTAATGCGGTTTAGAAAAGTTATGACACTAAGATCAAAGGAATCCACACCTGGAGGTTTGCATCTGCTGAGTAATCTCTGGGCTTTCCGGGACGCCAGGATGGAAGATTCTGAAAAAATAAAAATAAAAATAAACAAAAATACAGACGTGGATGATGGGGCAGAGTGGGGAGATGTCCCAGAGGCCCAGTCCTCCTCTTGTCCCCCTTGACCAGGGACAGCCTTGACCAGGCCTGCCTGGTCACACCCCATGGCAGAAGGTCCTCAAAGCAAACTCGCTCCACAAAGCAGGGCCAGTGTGGGCAGAGGCGACGGAGAAATGGAAGACGGGAGAACGCCGTGTAGACGGGGGAGGGGCAGTAGGGGGCGACGTGCCAGGCACTGACTTGGAAAAGCAGCAAGTGACAGTCCTGCGCCGCCCGAATGCCCAGACTTAACCCTGACCTTGGGGAAGCAGACACCGTGCCCCCCTCCGAGCTAAACTGTGGACCAAGGGGCTAGGGTGGCAGAGCGCTCGCCAACCAGCTACTTACCCGGAAAAAGAGCGGGCCGGGCCCCTCCCCGCCGCCGAGGGGGGCGAGGCGCGCTGCGCGGGAGGACCCGGACGTCACAAGTTCGCGGCCGAGCCTCCAGCCCGCCCCCCGCACCTCCCTTCCCTTCCATCCAGGGACGCGGCTGCCCGGCGCCTCCAGCCTCGGGACGCTCCCGCCGCCGCCGCCTCCCCGCCGGGCTCATCATGGCACCTCTCCGACTCCTCTGCTCCTGGCCACGTCTCTGCGCCTCGGCGCGCGGCTCCTGGGGCCCCCGATCCAAGGTAAAGTGTATGGGAGGTGGGTCACGGAAAACCGCAGGGGACACCCCGAGCGCTGCCGCGTTTGCTCCGCGGGCACCCGCCCAGTCCAGCCTGGGCTGGGCACCGGGGCGCCGTCCCCGGGGCACCGAGATGCGCCGGCGCCTCCCTGCCGCGCTGCCCTTTCGGGTCCCCGCGGAGAATCGGTCCTGCGTACGCTCCCCCGAGGGACCAGGCGAGGCCCAGAAGCGCGCGAGAGGCTGGGAAGGGGCGAGCGGGCGCGCATCTCTGCTCCGGGCAGCGGCGCGGCTGAGGTCCCGGCGTGGAGCGCGCGGGTTTCCGGGGCGGAGGGCGGCGGCGGCGGGTGGGTGTGCGCTCTGCGCTGGGGATCTCGGGTTCCAGGACCCAGGGCCGACTTGGCCGGGGCTCGGGCACTTCCCGCCAAGGGGGCGGGTGCTGGGCGCGACGAGGACGCGGTGCCGAGCCCACGCTCGCCTCCCTTACATGGCCCGGCTGCGCCGCCCGCGCGGGGGGAGCGGGACCCGGGGGAGCGTCTTCGCTGCCGAGCGAGCGGAGAAAGTCGGCCGCGGTCCCGCCGTGGCTCCCTCGCGCTCCTCGGGCGCCGGCGGCCCTCCCCTCGACGCCCCCCAGGGATCCCGGTTGGAAGATTTCCGTCTTCGAAGCCCTTTGGCATCCTTGTTCCGCCGTCACTGCCAACTCTCCACCGAGTGGTGTCCCTTTGTTGCTTCTTGTGTGTTTTGGCCCCAAGCTCTGCCCCAGCTGGGAAGCCCCCGCTCAGGTGACTCCAGTCTGGAGTCCTCGGAGGCGGGAACTGGGCCTGAGCTCTGGGTCCCGAGGGCGACTTACCTCCGCTATCTTGTAACCATGGGAACCGCTTTCTAAGAAGGCAAAAGGAAAAGTGATGTTTTTACTTAGTAGCGCGTGGAGTGATAGTTCTGAGCTTGCAAGCGCGCCTTGCTCACTGAGAGCTCCCGGCCCGGCCCACGCCTCTCCTATCCTTCCCGCCCGCAATATCCGAGAGCAAAAACTGCAGCGGGCCCCTTAGTTAGATGCTGGGGATGACTGAGAACTGGAACGTTTGACCCCTACATGCTTCTTATGTTGGTCACTGCAGATAGCTTCGGATATGTGGGGCATTATTCACAGGGAACCCGACCTTCAGCCAGGCACTGACTTGCTGCAGGCATGCCAGAATGCAAACCACTATAGGGAGAGGCCTTGGGCCAAGGTCAGTCACATGGCGATTACTTATTTACCTAAGTGTAATTTACTCATTTTCTCACCTGTAGGTATACCATTAAACCATGCCCACGCCCAGGAAACCTCTGCTTAGATGGCCGAGCTACGCATTATGGGTTTTGCAGTTTGTCATTGAAAGTTCCTATCAAGATTCAGACTCTCACGTTCAGGTTTGCGTATCATGCTAACAACACCTGCTTCCCAGCGCTCCTCCAGCGCTTGGCACTTAGTGAGTGCCCATGCTGCTTAAATCCTTGCCTCCTACTTCAGTTAAATGGTTACACGTGAACTTGCTTAACTTCAGGTGTGTACGTCTTAACCGGATGCAAGTTTCCTTTCGGGCAAGGACCATATGCCTCATTGCCCATCTCTCTCCACATTACACACTACCCTGCATAGACTAGGTACGCAACACATGTTTATTACATTGTTGGGAGAACCCTTTAAGGAGCAGTCTTGAGATTTTTTCTGCTAAACATAAGCAACAAAACGAGATAGTGTTTTTTTTTTTTTTTTTAAATCTATAATAGGCAAGGCTATAAAACTTGAACATGCATCAGAATTACCTGGAGGCTTTATCAGATAGACTCCCCCCACTCCCCCTGGAATTTCTGATGTAGTTGGTCCTGGGTGGGGTCCCATAGTTTGCATTAATAAAGTTCCCAGGTGATGTTAAGGCTGCTGGTCTGAGGACTGCACTTTCAGAACCACTGGCAAGAACTTAGATTAGAATAGACTATCTGAAGGTATCTTCTCCATTACTACTTCAGAGGGAGCATTTAGTACTCTTTTCTCTATTCATCATAGAAAGTTATTACTGGGGAAAAAATCGCCATTAACACTTTAGCTACCTCTCCTCCTTGTAACTATCTCTCCCAGACCTTTCTCCAGCCCCAGACTGCTGAGCTGCAGTCCTTCTAGGGTAGCTTACTGGTCGACTCCGCCTAGAGGTCACTCAGCAATTCAAGTTTTTCTGACTCAGAAGGAACCAGCCACAATATGGCTTTTCCCTCCCTTGCTTTGATTTTTTAAAATATATTTTATTGATTTTTTACAGAGAGGAAGGGTGAGGGATAGAGAGTTAGAAACATTGATGAGAGTTCGATTAGCTGCCTCCTGCACACCCCCTACTGGGGATGTGCCTGCAACCAAGGTACATGCCCTTGACCAGAATCGAACCTGGGACCCTTCAGTCCGCAGGCGAACACTCTATCCACTGAGCCAAACCGGTTAGGGTTGTTTTGTTTACTTTATGGTTAACAGACCAGTGTCAATCCAGTGTGTAAGCTTGAAAACATTCTCTCCTTTCTCTACCTCTAGTTCAGCGGTTCTCAACCTGTGGGTTGCGACCCCTTTGGGGGTCGAGCGACCCTTTCACAGGGGTCGTCTAAGACCATCCTGCATATCAGATATTTACATTACGATTCATAACAGTAGCAAAATTACAGTTATGAAGTAGCAACGAAAATAATTTTATGGTTGGGGGTCACCACATGAGGAACTGCATTTAAAAGGCCAGAAGGTTGAGAACCACTGCCTAGTTGATCACTGGTGTCACATGTACTAATTTTGTAATTATGTGTAATTATTTAGTGACTTTTAGCCTTGCTAGTGTGCAAGTTTCATCAGAGCAGGGACTACTGGTATGCTTGTATGGCATTTTCTTTAAAGCACTGTCCCCAGTATTTACTATATTCGATACAAAGTAGGTATTTTTGAAAAAGCGGATGGATGAAGGAGACAATGAGTTCCCCTGCCACATCCCCAATGTAGATTTTCATATGAGAGCTGTGACATCTGTCTGCTTCAAAAGCTTTGCTGTTCTTTCCTCATGGAAGGAGGAAGTTGAAACTCTTTAATGTGGTCTTTAAGGCCTTGAACAACCTGCCTCAATCTGCCTCTCCATCTCCAGCCTGCTCTTCTAGCCTCTCCCCATGGGCCCCTTTCCCTTCTCTGACCTTGATGCATGCAGCTGCTCCTTCCTGGATTCCCTCCCGCATCAATGAGGTAGCTCCTGGACAGCCCCTCCGGCTTCCTGGTGCAACAGGCGCAAAGCATCCCTCCGTCTGTGCTCCTTCCGAGTGTTGGGCATCGCACCTGCATTGGAAGAGAACATGGGTGTCCTCTCGAACGCCAAGGCTGCCACTGCTGGGAGAATTGCCTGGTGTTGGTGACTCCTTGTGAGCGCCTGCCTGGTGTTGGTGACTCCCTGTGAGCACCTGTCATAAGTGCGGACTTGGCGGTGTTTTGTTTAAGATGAACATTCCGCCTTGGGCACACTGGCTTCGGGCTGGACAGCTGAGAGGAAGGAGAGCTTGCCACCCCATATATGCCTTTTTTGGGATATTGATTATTTGAAGCTGGTTATTTTTAAGGAAGGACTCAGAGGAAACCTTTGGCCTCCCCGCTAACTGCCTGAAAGACTTTAGATCGAGGACCTGCTCCCGGAAGGGAGACATCAGACAGAGCTAGAATGTGAGCTAGTGTGTGACAGACGGGAACGCGGCAAGGCCTGTTTGGCCAATGTCCTCTGTGGGTCTCACTGTTTAAAGATGGCCCAGCAAACATTTACTTACCAAATATATGCTTTTCCGTCTCCATGTGAATTGCCTTCTTGCTCTTTGATGCCCCCTCACCCCCCACTATTCCTTCTCTTTAGCTCAAGATATAGCATGTCAGCCTCAGCTGCCCAATTTCTCCTTGGATCCCATATTCTAGTGGAACCCCCATATGTACATGATAAATTTGATCATTTTCTCCTGTCTCATGTCAATTTGATGATCAGAGCAGTCAGAAGAACCTTAAAAGGGTAGAAGGAAAATTATTTTCCCGCCCCTGCACAGCTAAAGCATGTCAGCACACATCAGCTCCTCCTTTGGCAATGGCTATCCTCATCCTTGCAGGTCTGTGGGTGTGTGTATCCCTGCGTGTTACTGCCTGTTCCTTCTAACAGGGCTCTCCTCACCTCTCCATGTGGCCTCTCTTCCCTGCTTCTGTTAATCAAACTTTGATACTGAAGTGGGCAGTATCAATGTTCCTATGTCCTGACTTATTTAACACTTGGAGTGCGGGTGAATTTCCCGCCAAAATATAAGATGGCTCTGTCTTTTGGTTTTGTTCCATCCACCAAAAGGGTGGATTACAAACAAATATTTGGTAATACGCAGTTACAATCGGCCCGAGTTTACACGTTTCCCGCACTCCACCGCAAATCTATATGAACCGAGTTTTAAGACGGCTCCCGCGGAGTACGCGCAATTCACGCGAGCCGACTTAACTCGTTTCCCGCACTCCAACTGGAAGGTGACAAGGTAAATAGCTGGGTGTATAGTTCCATATCATTAAGATAAAATGTATTTTAAAATGAAAAAGCAGTGTGCTTTTTGGATTTTCCCTGAAAGGTCTTCCCAAATGAAGTGCATTTTCATTAAGTTCTGGAGTACTGAGTGGCAGGAAAAAGAGAAATTTAGGGGCAAGAAATATGGCAGAAGTGGTTAGAGGAAAAAGATTCTGGATTGGGAAGTCATGTGATAACATTTAGGTTCAACAGTGGAATCAAACCTCAAAGTTCAAGTGTAAAAATGTGATGTAGAGGGCAAAGGGTCTTTGTAGACAAGATTTATCTTAAGGAGAAATGGATGAAATATAAAAATGTTTCACTGTAAGAGTTTTGATTATTTCTTACACTTCAGTGCTGAGTCATTATTATTTAGCTCCCCCAACAGTATTAGCAGAAATAGTAGTAATAATAACATGGAAATTTGCCGAAGGTAAGAGAGTGGAAAAGCAAAATGAAATACATTATGGGAACATAAAGAAGGACTTGAGGGGGGGGGGTTATCTCACAATAAATAGATATTAAAGCTGAACAATTCATTATTCTTCATTCTTTTAGGTAACTTATGCAAACTCAAAGGTTCTTTGTTTATTTAGCAGATGGTGCTTGGGTCTTTTCATATCACTGTTTTGGTATTAAGAATATATTAGAAGGTAGAGGTCAGTGTGAGAGCAGCATATTATTAGAGGCACCCCCCCCCCCTCCCGCCCCCGCCTAATCTTAGAAGGTGTTGGCAGTACTCCCTTGACTTGGAGATGGGGAGTGTGGCCCATTATGCCACACCATTGGTTTCTCAACCATCAGATATCAAATGTCAGCATAACACGTGGATTAAATGGCAACAAATGCTGTCAACTGAATGTATGAAAAATGAAAAAAACAAATTTGAGTGCCTGTAGAGTCTTCATTGTTCTGAGCTCTCCTCACAGTCCCTGGAAACATGAGTCACTTTTATTGCTTTTAAACTCTTGGTTATCGGGGTAAATGTGAAACTCTTGGGTCTTTTCTAAAATACTTTTGAGGGTCCGGCCGGCATGACTCAGAGGTTGAGCATTGACCTATGAGCCAGGAGGTCATGGTTCAATCCCCACCGGGTCAGGGCACATACCTGGGTTGTGGGCTTGATCCCCAGTGTGGGGCCTGCTGGAGGCAGCTGATTAATGATTCTCTCTCTCTCATACTCGATGTTTATCTCTCTCTCTCTTTCCCTTCCTCTCTGAAAATAAGAAAAAAATGATTAAAAAATTAAAATAAAGTACTTCTGAGGAACTTTCTGGGGTGTGGGCCCAGCTCCTCCATGATTTCTGACTGGCATGAAGGCATAATTATCCGCTGAAAGAAGTGATTGGAGGCCCTGCCCAGTCTATGCTGCGTGAATCTGAAGAGCTCTCTGGTTCTCAGGAGAAACAAGTTTTCTTCTGACTTCCTCGACACAGGACTCGTGTTTCTTTCTGTGGGTAAATAGTCAGGGCGATACCACCCCCTGCAGACAAATCTTTCATCTCCTTCCTCTCATCCTGCTAAGGCCCCGACTCCTCACTGGAGATTGACAGCAGACTTCTTCTCGAGAAAGCAGGACACTCAGAAAGGTTTGTTGTGTATAAATAGTGAAATAGAAGTAGAAGAAGATGGAGGACTTTTAAAGACCACGGGAACTGCGGTGGTGGAAGGACCTTGTGCTAGAAGGCACAAACCTGGAACCTGGTCCTGCTTCAAAAGCGCTGGGGACTCGACAAGATCTTCCTAAGCTTTGGAAGCGTGACCTGCAAAACGAGTTGGTTGGATTATGTAACTGTGTATTTTTCTCTTCTCTCGTTTCTAGGGGATATCCTCAACTCTATTTTGTGCTCTGTTCACCTATTTATTCAGGCTCCAAACCTTTAATTTCCAAGATTAAAAATATATTTGTGTATGTGTGTGTTTAAAACAGAATAAAAAAATTCCTTGCTACTTGAAGATAAGGAAGACAAGAAGGCCCTTTCTGTCTCTGCCTCCACTTGCTCCCGGTGTTTGGGTGATGTGCCAAGCCTACCTCATGCCCTGCCTGACCTTGACCACAGTTGAAATTTAAAGGGACAAAAGTCATCTGTGTGACCTCCAACTCTGCAAATCTCATTTGACTTTCAGTAAAGTTCTCTTAAATAGGCTTTTGTACTAAGTGACACTTTTTCTAAAAGGAGTTTTTAGAGGCTGAAGAGAATCCGAGAAATGCTATTTTATGCTGTTACCTTACCCCCACCGGGATGTCTGTCTGGGAGGCTGATTGGCAGTGGACTTAAGGTGGCCACGTGTCAGGAGTCAGGTGTCATTCTCTCTCCTTCCTCTATTCAGGTTGAGTATATGATGAGACTAAAGGAGAGCTTTGATATAACTAAAAAGAGATGTTGAGGATGAGTGATTGTGTGCAACATATGGGCTTCCCAATTTGTCCTGTACCTATTGTGGGTGAAGTATAAAGACGGAAACAGTTAAAAATGGATTGTGAAAGCTGACGAGGTGACAGTAATTCTAGCCATGCCTCCCTTGCAGGTGTTCGTTTACTGCTTTTCAACAGCATGCGGAACTCCAAGCCCAGAGGGGCTGAGTCATTTTGTGTGCTGTTCTTTACTTGTTCCTTTAGGAGGCATTCTGTTACCCAGCATTGTTGGATCTGGTAGTATTGGTCATGCTGTACTTCCCTGAGAGTGGCAATCATATCTTAATACTGACTAGATTGCAGTCAATACCACAGTAGTTGGCCTATAGTAGGCTCTCAGTAAGTATTTGTGGATTGAACGGAAGGTTAAGTTACTATCAGAAATCGATGCTTGATCTTGCCATTCAGAATTTGAGTGCTAGTATATGGGCCATCTATTTTTGTGTGGCCACAAATATCACAGCATTGTCCCTTGTATAATAGAAGACATAGATCATGGGGGGACTCCAATCATAATCTGGATAGAGTATGTCCCTTCCACTCCTTTTTATTTACAAGTATTTATTTTTAATTTCTATTGATTTCAGAGAGAGGAAGGGAGAGGGAGAGAGCGATAGAAAACATCAATGATGAGAATCATTGATGAGCTGCCTCCTGTACACCCCCTACTGGTGATGGAGCCTGCAACCTCAGCATGTGCCCTTGACTGGAATTGAACCTGGGATGCTTCAGTCCGTAGGCCAATGCTCTGTCCACTGAGCCAAACCGGCTAGGGCTTCATTCACTCTTAAGATGAATTACTTACAGCCCCACTCTTTCAAAGAGGACATAGTGAAACTGTCCTTGTATATATAAAAATTGAATAAATTGCTATGCAAGTAAAGACATATTTCCAAATGATTATTCACTTAAAATGTTTTTTTTAATGTTTTAGGGAGGTGTTTGCTATTTTTCAACCAGCACATGTCGCCATACCAAATTTTACAAAGATCCAGTGGAAGCTGTCAAAGATATCCCTGACGGTGCAAAGATCCTGGTTGGTGGTGAGTAATAGTGTTGTTTTCCTTTCGATGGTAACACCCTGACTGCATAAGGGTTAAATGATAAAGTGGGCCAGTAGTCCATACGCAGTTAAGTGCAAGAAGAATGATGTGTAGCCATATTCACAAATCATGCTTGGCTTTATACTCATGAATTGAGGGCTGGACAGTGATGTCTGGTGCTGTATGTTGGTGTCAAACATTTGGGATCAGCTTTATGTCTATTTATTGAGTTGCTGAGATACTGTGCATTTTGCTTAGTAGGTCACATAGGTGCTTATAGATTGTCTTTTTTACTAAAAGAGAATAACACACATTTCTCTTCACAAACGGTTGACCTTTTTGGCTTCTTATAGGCTTCGGGCTGTGTGGCATTCCAGAGAACCTCATCGGAGCTTTACTGAAGACTGGAGTCAAGGGGCTCACTGCAGTCAGCAACAATGCGGGGTGAGTGCACTTTTGAGACCATTGGTTTGAAGGGAATGACAATTCTCCATGTTATTTACACAGAGTCTATCAATGAAATGAAAGTTTTCCCCCTTAAATGAGCAATATGCTCCCACATCAAAAGATAGTGTTTAATAAGCTCAGGAGTCATGGTTCCATCTATTCACATACTTTTGGTATCATACTTTTGTTGTTGTTGTTGTTGTTAATCTTCACCCGAGGATATTTTCCCATTGATTTTTAGAGAGAGTGGAAGGGAGGGGGAGAGACAGAGAGCAACATCGATGTGAGAGAGACACATTGATTGGTTGTCTCCCACAAGCACCTGATTGGGGCCAAGAATTGAACCTGAGACCCTTCAGTCCGAAGGCCAATGCTCTATCCACTGAGCCAAAATGGCTAGGATGATATCATACTTCTTAATCATAAGTAAAGGATACTTGCATAATTTTTGTATCTTAATCTGATGTGCTTTTATTTTAATTTCAAACATACTGTTAAGTTGAAATATATATTTTTAAATTGACTCCCGTATTTTAAAAATTAGAGATATTCCTTTATGTTGTATGTTATGTTGTATGAGATGTTCCTTTATGTTGTATGTTATTGCATGTTGTATCAGGAAAGGTGGACATCAATTTGCAATCTGTTTTAAGTCCTTTCACTGGATTATGCCATTACTCTAGTCTAGGTGATATGTAAGGAACATCATTAATCATTAAAAAGGTTGCTGGTCTTGGTGGAAGGAGGAGGATATGCAGCAGCACTTAAGACAGTAGGATGGCATATCAAAACGGTCAACACTAAGCCATAACATTTTAATAATGAATGACATGCCCTTAAGGTATGTTTAGTTATATTTTATTGATTTTTTACAGAGAGGAAGGGAGAGGGATAAAGAATTAGAAACATCAATGAGAGAAAAACATCGATCAGCTGCCTCCTGTACACTCCCTACTGGGGATGTGCCTGCAACGAAGGTACCTGCCCTTGACGGGAATCGAACCTGGGACCCTTGAATCCGCAGGCTGACACTCTATCCACTGAGCCAAACCGGTTAGGGTGGTATGTTTAGTTATAAAGGAAAAAGCTATTTTTATACAAAATGACAAATCATCATCAGCTCTCTGTCAATCATGAAGGACTAAACATCTTAAACAATTTTTCTTTAATTAACTGAATTTGCAGTATAACCTATTAATCACAAATTCAGCTTAGAGCAAATAGCACAGGTTATTTAGGTTACAAAACTGATCCTACATTTGTGCTCATTTTTCCTTTGCTGCGTTTCTTTATGCCATTATTTTCATCTGGAAGGTTCTCCCACCTCTTCTCTGTGTATCCACATCTTCCCCATTTTTCAGAATTTGACTTAAGTTACATATCTTCAAAGAAGCCTTATCCAAGTATAAAACTTCTCTTGCCCCTTTCTGAATTCCTTTGGAAACTTTTAGCTTTTTTTTGTATCCTGAATTGTATTTATTCTCTCCGATACACATTGCAGGCCGATCCTGTTACTCAGAGTAGTTTTCTGTCCCTACTGTGTGCTCAGAGACACTGAATGTCAGAGCTGGGCAGGGTTGTAGCGCTCAGCTGTTCAGCTCCCTCATGTAACAGAGGGAACGCATCTGTAAATAGGGAAGTAATTTATTCACGGTCACTTGATATTTCTTAAGCACATCCAGTGCCCTTTGAGCTGACTTTGTATTTGTTAAACATACTTTTGGTGACCAGTACTTTGTGGGTTTTCCAGATAGCTCAGTGCTTACAAGGCCGGTGTAATATATGAATTCTTTTAAAATATATTTTTATTGATTTCAGAGAGGAAGGGAGAAGGAGAGAGAGTTAGAAACATCAATGATGAGAGAGAATCATTGATAGGCTGCCTCCTGCACGCCATCTACTGGGATGGAGCCCGCAACATGGGCATGTGCCCTGACTGGGTATTGAAACGTGACCTCAACCACTGACCCACACCAGCCAGGCATGAGTTCTCCATGCAGAGTAGGTACTGATCACCTACTTCATGGAACACAGAAGGCACGTCACAGGCACTGATGCTCCTGATTAGGGGGTGTAAACCCTTAGTCTGCAGCAGTGAGGGCTTTGTCTGGGCCACCTGAGTCAGATAGCATTGCTTCATCGGAGAGCCAATGACATGGTTTGAAATGTTGGGTAAATGGAGAGACTTTGGAATTAGAAGTAATCATTATTTTCTCATTTAGAAAAAGGCTCTTTTTATGGAAAGATCTGCCTGACTTGGAAATCTTTGCAAAGCGCAGGACTCCTGATGGCTTTTGTTTCATTTGTTTTTAATGATCAGGAAGACCTGTTGCCCCGAGGCACCACTTATCTGGCTGTGGGGCAGCGCCTGTTAGTCTAGATAAGTTAACCCCTCTTTTGGGATCAGTTTGACGTGGATTGATTAGGAAGATAGGAAAAACTGACAGTGTGCCTTCCGTTGATTTTTGGAAGACTTTAACATATGGATTGCAGGCCTGTGTGAACCCAAAGTTTCACAACAAACTATGTATCAACCAATTAAATTGCAGCGCCAAGGAGAGAATGGACGTGTTGTATTAGTCTGCCCTTTTCTTTATGCAAGGCTGTTTACCTGATTACCCTTCTTGAGGGTGGGGCTTTAGACAACTCCAAGACCAGCCCCACTTCCCTGTGGGAGACCAACAAATTCTACCTGGTGATAGAGGTGCCTGTGCCTGGGAGTTCAGTGCCGTCACCTGGGTACAGTGCTGTCCTAGCCAGGGTAGGAGTTCTGTGAGGGCCTCTGCAAATAAGACAGCTGGCTCTGCACTGCTGGTTTTGAACCAGGAGACAGACAGTGGCTCCGTTGCTTTCCCGGTTCTTCTTTGTTGAGGCAGCTGCGTCTCTGGGGAGGTCTAGGCCCTCTTGGTCGATTAGAAGCATTCCCCTGGGGTATGCCCTTGAACTTGTGTGCTCAGCTCACAGAAGATTTCACGTTTCCCATATAACTATGTCATCAATCAACCTCATGTCTGAAGACAGCACTTTTTTCTTTTAATACTCTTGAGATGATCAGAGTAAGAATAACTTGTATGATGAGATTTAAGGATGTCTAAAATGCAAGTAAGCAAGGAGTAGTTTGGTAAATGGTTGCAATGTCATTCTTATCAGAGTTTCATTTTGGCCAGAATAGCCAGTTCAATGAGATTTCAGAAAACGAAAATCAGTTTCATAAATATTTGCAGAACATGAATGTATCTCTTTAACTCATTCTTGGATTTAGACTTCTTTCATCACTCACGTGTTTGGGACCTGAGTGTGTTGTGCTGCAGGGAAAAGGTTAACTCTTTCTGGGTAGGTAAGCTGCTGGTTGCTAAGGGCAAGCAAGAGTCACTCTGAAAGTTCACCAGAATTACCTTTACTACAAAGCTGCAAAATGCTTTAATATATGTTTCTCTAGGAAAATTAGTATGTTCCTCATTTGCAAAAGATCATGGATGTCTCTCTTCTCTCTTATATTGTGAGGAAGGGTCTTGCCTTTTTCACTTTGTATCATCATAGGCAAGAAAGACACTTAGCTGCCTAGCAGCGTGTTTGGAGGCATACATTGATTGTGCGCCAGGCGGGCAGTCGCCTGGCTGAACATCTTGTGACCTGCTTAGTTGCTATGCCAGGTCCTAATCCAGAAATAAAGTAAAGAAAAAAGAAAGGAAAGAAAAACAAACAAACCCAACAAATACACATGGTTTCCAGAGCCAGAATCAACAAATACAGAGAGGTCATCTCCAGACAGGGCCAAGTTCAAGTGTGTAATGCATTGAAAAGCCAAACAGAGACCCAAGGAGTTTGGGAAAGTGGTTAGGAAAATCCCCAGGTCAATGAATGACTCGATGTATTCTGGTTCATGGTGTGGAGTTGTGCGCTGGGAGGGAGGTCAGATATTTAATGCTACAGAAAGCAAGTGGGTTGCATCCACCTTCGTGGGTTATTTTATGTTAGGATGTAATTTAGACAGGGCTCCAGAGGATATCAGTGGGATGCTCATATTGGGTAACTGAGGAAAGCTTACCAAAGGGACTGTGTTTAGAGGAATGGTCAGGACTTGGAAAGCAGCTTGAGTACCAGCAGCCTGGGTACCAGCAGCCTGGGAAAGCAGCAGAGCTCAGCAGCCCTATGCCTGGTGGAGGAGGGGAGGAAGCTGTTAGGACCTGGAACAAAGCTCTAGGGAGAGGGCTATCCAGGGTGCTGCAGCTTAGCCAGGGAGTGAGCCAGGGGAATACAGATCCTGACATCATTTTTGTCTCACCCCATCCTCCTGATGGTGCCTCCCGTTGGCTGGACCCCATCAGCAGTGGCTGACCCCAACTGGAAACCAGAGGGCAGGGCCCAGGATTCAGTCCACACAGGTCAGCCAGCCCCGGGCTCAGGGCAGCTCAATGGATGTGGGGTTGGGGGATGCAGGGGGCAAACAGAAAATATCCGGCATAAGGACTTGATGACTCTCATTTTTATTAGAGAGGAGCCAGGGAGGAGGGGGAAGTGAAGCAAGTCATTCATTTGCCAGTCGTTCAACAGTTGTGGCTCTAGTGCCCTCTGTGTATTGTGTATGCAGCCAGGTGCTGGCGGTGCAGCCATGAACAACACAGGACAAGTTCTCTGCTTTTGTGGACCTAACCTTCCAATGGGCAGAGGCAGGCAATAGTAGTAAACAAAGCAAAATAAGTAAGTTTCCAGTGTGTTAGAAGGTTATAGTGCTACACGAAGAAGAACAAGAGCGAGGGGGATTGGGAGCATGAAGGTGGAGGGCAGGTTTCGGTATAAGATGGGTGATCCAGGCAGGACTCATGGAGGGGCAGCTGGCCAGATTCATGAAGGAAGTGGGGCGGGGGGGAGGACCTGTGTTAGCCATGCAGCGATCTGGGGGAGGAGTTTGGAGACACAGACAGGCCAGCGTGAAGGACCCAGGGCAGGATGTGAGTATAAGGAGGCCAGCAGAGGCAGAGTGGGAAGGACCTAGGAGGAGTGAGGTTGAGACAGGACTGGGCATCCCATCACACGGGGCCCAGCCACTCCAGAGACCTTTGCTTTTTCTCTGAATAAGTGAATACCGTTGCAGGGTTTGAGCAGAGCAGGACATGACCGGACATTTTATTTTATGCCTGTATTTTTGTCTGTCATTTGGCGAGTAGGATCCTAGGGGCCAGGAGTAGCAGCTGGGAAGGTCACTGCAGAGTCCAGGGAAGCGACAGTATAGGTCACAGAGGAGGGAGAGTGACAGGCTCAGATTCTGCATAGATTCTGAAGGCAGAGTCAGGATGCCCCCATAGCGTGTGAAAGTCAAAGGTCACCCCTTTAGTTTGTGCTGAAGATCTCTAAGGATGGGGTGCTGCCATTGGGTGAGAAGGGGCAGGCTGCAGGTGGAGCTGAATTTAAGGGAACAGGATTGTTAAGTGAGGGCCTGCTGAGGTGTTAATTAGGAGTAGGTTAAAACTAAACCAACCAAACACAGCATTATGTGTATGAGAGTGTGCCCAAGAACTAATTTTCTAAGAGACACAGAGACTCTTTAGTGTTTGGGGCCCTCTGGTGGACAAGTGTATTATTAATCTTCAGGGAATTCTCCGCATATAGCAAAAGTACACTTGCAAACATTATTTAGGCTCCAGTTTTCTTTTAAAATAAGTGAGAATAAACCATGTGGCTATTTGTCATAACCATGAAGGGGAATGTTATTAGATTCTGTATTGGAAGGCTGGGACTAGGAAACAAATCTAGAAGAAGGTTGGCAGTTACCTGTCACCTGGATTACTTTGAAGTATTCAGGTGTCAGAACTGCCTGGGGGAGGTTAGGAGCTTGGAAGCGATCCATTCTGAAAACTAGGAGATTGTCAGTTGAGCAGAACCGCCACTTGTGTGTGTGAGGATGGAGAATGGAGTGAAGATGGGAGAAAGGGTCAGGAGAAATGTCAGTGGTTTGTCATATGAGTACCATACCTACCTACTTGCATCCTTTCAAACAAGTGGATGTCACTAATGATCCATCATCAGACCTGTGCCCTTCCACTGTTTCCCATGCCAGGGCCAGGGTTCTGGAGTGGGTCTTCATCATTTCACTCTGTATCCATGATACAAGGAAAATATTCATAGTTGCTCATAATTGGGTCCATATTTCAAGAGTCTGCTGTTCTGTCTTTTAAATATGAGAATGCTCCTGACCTCGTTCTTGGACAGAAAGACTTTCTCCATCTGAGCCTTCCTGTGAGGCCATAGCAGATTAGGGACAGTGGCACTGCATTTATGCCTGGGTCTGAAGTGTAGGGCAGGGACCAGTCCATCTCTTGCTCATCTCCTGACCAGGATCACTTTGGAGCAGCGAAAAGAACAGAAGGGGCGGGGTCAAACTGTAGGATTGATGTGGGTTTGAGGACTGGCTGGTGTCACTACCCAAGATCTTGGGGAAAAAAATCACTTAAATGTTTTGAGCTTCAGTTTCCTCAACTGTAAAATAAGAAAAGTATAGCCACCTTGCAGCGCTCTTTGGGTGGTGGGTGACTGAGAGAGAATGTGGGTTCAATGCCTGGTAGATAGGATTCCTTTAAATTAATACAACTTCATGTTTTTCAATGTAAGTGACATTAGTGTTCGATCAGATGGCACTTTGGTTGTAAGCTGCTTGCATTTTCCTTCCAGGGTTGACAACTTTGGCTTGGGCCTTTTGCTTCGAAGCAAGCAGATAAAGCGCATGATCTCTTCGTACGTGGGAGAAAATGCAGAATTTGAACGACAGTACTTATCTGGTGAATTAGAGGTAGAGCTGACACCTCAGGTAAGAAGACACTCTGCTTTTCTTTTACAATACTAACTTGTTTTAAAATGTATCTTTTTCTCCCTAGAAATGTCTTGTGCAAGACCGGTAAGGCAGAGAGAATGCTATTTCGTAGGTCCCACCTGTTGATTGCTGGAATCTAATATTTTCTGTTGCTATGCAACAGAAAAAGGAGGTATTTCTGATGAAGATCTCTAGGTAACAGGATAAATTTTAAAGTTTGGTACTAGAATGTAAATTATACTGGAAGCATGCAAAAGGACTTGCTGAAATGTTTGAGGGTTATCCTAAAGGTCAACTCATATGGGTTGAGATAACTTAGCCTTCATTTTTTTGGAGCTATTGAAAATAAGCCTTCTATATCTTTTCCATTCCTTCTTATTTTGTCAGAGGGCATATACATGGGAGAGGAACTTCCTTAATATTTCTATTTTTTTAAAAAAATCTTTATTGTTGAGATTATTACATATGTTCCTCCCCCCTCCTTAGCCTCCCTCTACCTGAGTCCTGCCCCACCCCAGGCCTTCACCCTATTGTTTGTGTCCATAAGTAATGCATATATGCATATAATATCTTTGTTTAATCTCTGCCTCTCCACTCCCCTTCCCTCTGAGAATTGTCAGTCTGTTCCTTTTCCATGCCTCTGATTTTATTTTATTCACCAGTTTATTCTGTTCATTAGATTTCTTATTTGTTTACTTTGATTTTAGATTCAATTGTTGATAGGTATGTATTTGTTGCCATTTTGTTGTTCATATTTTTTATCTTTTTCTTCTTCCTCTTTTTTTAAAAAAACATATTTTATTGATTTTTTACAGAGAGGAAGAGAGAGGGACAGAGAGTTAGAAACATCGATGAGAGAGAAACATCGATCAGCTGCCTCCTGCACACCTCCCACTGGGAATGTGCCCGCAACCAAGGTACATGCCCCCGATCGGAATCGAACCCGGGACCTTTCAGTCTGCAGGCCGACGCTCTATCTACTGAGCCAAACCGGTCAGGGCTTCTTCCTCTTCTTAAAGAATACCTTTTAATGTTTCATATAATACTGGTTTGATGGTGATGAACTCCTTTAGTTTTTTCTTGTCTGTGAAGCTCTTTATCTGACCTTCCATTCTAAATGATAGCTTTGCTGGGTAGAGTAATCTTGGTTGTAGGTCCTTGCTATTCATCACTTTGAATATTTCTTGCCACTCCCTTCTGGCCTGCATAGTTTCTGTTGAGAAATCAGCTGACAGTCATATGGGCATTCCCTTGTAGGTAGCTAACTGCTTTTCTCTTGTTGCTTTTAAGATTCTCTTTTTGTCTTTAGCCCATGGCATTTTAATTATGATGTGTCTTGGTGTGGCTCTCTTTGGGTTCCTGTTGTCTGGGGTTCTCTGTGCTTCCTGGACTTGTAAGTCTGTTTCTTTCACCAGGTAGGGGAAGTTTTCTGTCATTATTTCTTCAAATAGGTTTTCAATATCTTGCTCACTCTCTTCTTCTAGCACCCCCATAATGTGGATGTTGGTACCCTTGAAGTTGTCCCAGAGGCTCCTTACAATATCTTTATATTTTTGGATTCTTATTTCTTTTTGCTTCCCTGGTTGGGTGTTTTTTGCTTCCTCATATTTCAAATCGTTGATTTGATTCTCAGGATCCTCTAGTCTACTGTTGAATTCCTGTATAGTATTCTTTATTTCAGTCAGTGTATACTTAATTTCTGAATGGTCCTTTTCCATTTTTTTGGCATTCTCACTAAGATCCTCGAAGGTCTCACTAAGACCCTTGGAGGTTTCTAAAGATTTTTGAGTAACCTTATAACTGTGGTTTTGAACTCTATATTCAGTAGTTTACTTTCTTCAGTTTCTTTCATTTGTGACATGTTTCTTTGTCTCCGCATTTTGGCTGCTTCTCTTTGTTTGTTTCTATGTATTGAGTAGAGCTGCTATGTGTCCTTGAGTTGATAGAGTGGCCTCGTGTAGTAGGTGTCCTATAGGACCCAGGGGCTCAGACTCCCCATTCACTTGGGATGGATACTCTAGGTGCACCCAATTGTGGGCTGTGTGCACAGTTTTGTTGTAGTTGAGCCTTGATTGCTGTTGGTGTCACTAGGAGGAATTGACCTCCAGGCCAATTGGCTGTGAGGACCAGCTGCGACTACAGTGGGAGAGCTGCTGTGCAGGAGACACCCTTATGGAGCAGGACTTACTTCAATGGGGCTTTGGTGCTCACTGAGTCTGCCCCTTGAGTGTGTTGTTTGTGGATGTGTAGAGTTATAATCTGTTATGGTCTGACACTGACCACTGGGTACACTGGCTCTTGGGTCTCCAGGGAAGAGTAAAGTCAGCCACTGCCTGGGGCCACTCAGCAGGAGCTACAGAGAGATCTGCAGATTCCTCCTCTTTGTATCAGGTTTGGAAGTGCTCACATGAGGCCCAACTGTGAAGCAAGGCAGGCTGGTGCTGTACCAAGTCTTAGGTCTTTTATTGATAGGTTTGGGGCTTCCAGACCCATCTGCAGCTTGTTTGAGAGATTTTAGCCTGAGCAAGGACAGGTCATTCATATGCAACAGCTTGGGTGGGGTTGTAAATTGAATGAGGCGGGGACTCAGGGAATCAACAAGGTGGAGCAAACAGAAGCTGACAGTCAGCCCTGTGACCAGGGAGGTCCCAGCATAGGAACAGTGATCCCTGTGAGCACCTCTGTCTGGTAGAAAGCCACCCCCAAGTTCCTGCCCCTATGCCAGACAATCCAGTTCCTCCTCATATGTGTCTGTGTTCCTCAGAGCTTCACCCTGGTGCTGGAGCTCAGAAGAAGCAGGACTTTGTAAGTTCAGTTTGTGGTGCTGGCCTTTTAAGAGGGGCAGTTGAGTCTCCAGCAGCCTCTGTGTCACTGAGCCCCAATCCACACTGGTTTTTACAGCTCATAGTTCTTACTGCCTGCAGGGACTTCTTTTCCCAGCTCTGGGACCCTGGGCTGGGGGTCTGGTGTGGGGCTTGGACCCCTTGCTCCTCCTGGTGGCCTCTGCAGAGACAGTCTTCCTCCCGATTAAAAAAGCGTCACACGTGGGTGCTGTACCAGCCCATTTCGTGCTTCCCCACCTCCTACCAGTCTCAGTGTGCTTTCTTCTTTACTTTTCTAGTTGTAGGGCTTCCATTCAGCCAGCTCTCTGGTGGTTCTAGGTTGTTCTGTATTTTAGTTGTAATTTTGATGTGGTTGTGGGAGGCTGTGAGTACAGGCATATTTGCCTACGCTACTATCTTGGTCTGAAAAGCTTCCTTAATATTTCCTTTACATTCTTTCTTTAAGTTGAAGAGGTCAGGGTCTCCCTCCTCAATGTAGTGGCAACTTGTTTGGTGGCCTGAGAGTCAGGAGGGAGTGTAGATGAAGAGTTGGGGATCAGGGCTCCCTTTGGGGTGGATGTGGGGCTTGGTGGTTTCTGCAGAACTCCTGCCTGCAGAAATATTCTGTTTCCAGGCTCTTGCTTAGTGGGACACAGAAGGAGTGAAGTATTTAGGGTGGGTGGACATAAAACACATTCTAACCTAGGGCTGGTTTGAGGATTGAATTTTTGTGCACGTTGGTAACTTAAAATACCCGGAACACAGAGTAGAGTCATCTCATCCTTTGGATAGGGTAGAACAGTGTTTTATCTATACATATTTTCAGGGAAGCCCCAAGGACCCCCTTCCCCAGAACATCCCACGTGCTTGAATGCCTCAGTGTTTCAAATGCTAGTCATTAGTTCCTTCTTTGAGTTTAGGTCCCAGTTAAAGTAGAACATTGGTTTCAGGTTGGGACAATATTAACACCCTGCCATTAATACCTAACCTCATTCTTACTACTGATTAGCCATTTAGCTGTCCAGCGTGACCAGGATGTAGCTGGACCATAACCACAGCCCTCAGTGGTGGAGAGGGTGTTGGAATGTGCTGTTGGAGTTTGTTGCCTTCTGGCAGACTCGGTGGAAAGGCAGTTGGAGGTGGGAGGGAGCTGGGAAATGAAGGTGACCAATGAAAGATACAAAGAAACTTTGCCTACAGCTGTTTGTCCTTTGAAACAAAATTTGAAGGACTCTTGGCTTTTAAAAAACAATTTACAGAATAAGTCCTGAAGCAGAGAGGCATGGAATAGACTGACATACCTTGATGTGGGGTTGGGGGGACAAGAAGAGATAAACCAAAGAACTTATATACCTACAGGCATAGCCCATGGACACGGGCAATAGCGTGCTGAAAACATGGGGGGCGGGTGATAAGGGCTTGGGAGGAGGGAGTAAAGTGGGGAAAAAGGGTGATATCTGTAATACTATCAACAATAAAAAGTATATTAAAAAAATAAAAATAAAAACCATTTTACCTATATGTTGTACTTTGGATTTTTCCTTAGTTAGATAATATTGTAGATCAAATACTTACGAGAATGGTTTAGAATACATTCTAGATAAATTTGAACATTTTATTTTATTCTACAATAATCGTTTATTATTACTGATGATAAGATTCAGGCCATACCTGCATATAGCACACAGTAAAACCCAGAACTTATTTTTGTGATTTTTAATATATATAGTTGAAGTTACATGTGTCAGATTTGAAAACTCATTTAAAAATAGTACAAATAGACTGATGTTGAACATGTTGTTGAAGCCAGCAGGCAACGTGGAAGGTGAAAGCGTGATTATGCGAATAAGCAGTTATATGTTGTGGATTAGGAATAGAGAGGCTGCCCTGGCTGGCGTGGCTCAGTTGGTTGGGTATTGTCCCGTGCACTGAAAGGTTGCTGGTTTGATTCCCTGTCAGGACACATGCCTGGGTAGCAGGTTCAGTCCCCACTGGGGTGTGTATAGGACAGTGATGGCAAACCTATGACATGCGTGTCAGAGATGACACGTGAACTCATTTTTTTGGTTGATTTTTCTTTGTTAAATGGCATTTAAATATATAAAATAAATATAAAAATATACATCTTTGTTTTACTATGGTTGCAAATATAAAAAAATTTCTATATGTGATACAGCATAGGGTTTTTCAAAATGCTGGCACACCGAGCTCAAAAGGTTTGCCATCATTGGTATAGGAGGCAACCCATTGATGTTGCTCTCACATCGATATTTTGCTCTCTTCCTCTCCCCTCCTCTCTCTCTAAAAATCAAAGAAAAAAAATACATAAAAAAGAAAAAAATAGAATAGAAAGGTTGTTCTCTAGAGAGGCAGTAATTGTTTTAAATTAATCTCTTAGTATAAGTTGTTAGTGAAATATACCAACTTACCATGCTAGGTACCGCTTGGAATAGTAATCCTTTGCAGTGGTTCTCAACCTTCTGGCCCTTTAAATACAGTTCCTCATGTTGTGACCCAACCATAAAATTATTTTCGTTGCTACTTCATAACTGTAATGTTGCTACTGTTATGAATCGTAATGTAAATATCTGATATGCAGGATGGTCTTAGGCAACCCCTGTGAAAGGGTCATTCGACCGCCAAAGGGGTCGCGACCCACAGGTTGAGAACCGCTGCTTTAGAGAGTAGGCACCGTGTCTGAATGCTCTGTGTCCACATGCAGAGGGATGCGTACTGACCTTGTGGGGTGTTGCTTGCTCACCTGTAGGGCACACTGGCAGAGAGGATTCGTGCCGGCGCGCTGGAGTTCCTGCCTTTTACACCAGCACAGGCTATGGGACCGCTGTGCAAGAAGGAGGGGGCCCCGATCAAGTACA